GCGCACCGCCGTGCTGCGGGACTGCCCACCTGCGCGGCCGCAGGGGCTCCAGCAGGCTGCAGGGCGGCCCACCGCCGGCGCGGCTCCGGACCGGACACGGCCGGTTCTGTCCAGTAGGGCGGGAACAGGGAGAGGAGGCGGGTAGGAAAACAAGCGAGCAGCGAAAGAGAGAGCAAGAAAGAGAGAGCAAGAAAGAGAGAGCAAGAAGGAGAAGTGAGAGAAAGAAGGGGCGCGTAGCCGGCGCCCGGCGCGCGGGGGCCAAAGTAGTGGGGCTCGAACGACGACTCGCCTTGTAAAAGTGGCCGGTATGTAAATCCATGCAGACGTTTCTAAACATAGCGCACGCGTCGGCCGGGCCGGGCCTCGGGCCTGGAAGAGCCGGAGGAAGGGGCGGGTCGGGGAACAGCGCGTGGCTCGTGGGAGTCGCTATAACAGAAGCCCTCCGGCGCCCGGGCCCGGCCAGGGACCGGAGGGCGGCAAAGGCCAAGGTGCCCCTCTCCACCTGCCCCACCCGTCTCCACGGCCCGGTGCTAAACTCGTCCGCTGCCGGGTTCGTGAAGAGGGCCGAGTCATTGCACTCCCCGCGGCTCCCCGACCCGTGCACTCCGGGGGATGACGTCGCCGCTATCGCCTGGCCCGGGGCCTGGCCATCACTCCTGCCAGGCACGGGGTGCGAGGGGCAGGCCTAGGGGTAGGGCTGCGTCCGGGTGGCCGCTGCCCCGCGCCCGCAGGGCGAGCTGCAGTTGGGCGGGCACACCCGGACGCGCCCCGACCGTCCGGCGGTCACGCGAGCCGTTACGTACCGACGGGAGAGCCTTGGACGGTCCGGGGGCCGCGCCGCGCTCGCCGCAGCGGTGACGTCACGGAGTCGTCATCGAGGGCGTAGCGCCTCGCGTAGCGCCTGCATGGCGGGGCGGGGCACAGGGGGCGCGCCGGAGTGGGCAGCCGGAGGTTTGCGCGCCACAAGGTTGCCCCCGGTGGGCGTGGCGTCCCCTCGGGTGGCCCCCGAGCGGCGGCTGTCCCGTGTCGTCTGTCAACGTCAACACCTCATCCCTCGATCGCTCCCTTCTAGGAATCCTACAGTATTAGGAATCGACAAACATAAGGGTGGGCAGAGCCTACATTGAAATCCTGAGATGTCTGGCCTTTCGACTGCGGCAAAGGAGTGGAGTGAGTACGGCGCCGCGCCTGATAGTAATCAGTGCTCAGAGGGTTGGAAGTGAGGGGCAAGAGGGGGTAGGGGGTGCTGCCTTGGCCGTAGCCCCTTGCGGGGTCGCGGGGCCCGCGCACCTGACCGCAAAGGTCAAATGACTCAAGCGCGCTCCCCGATCTTGAACTTCCACTTTGTCGAGGTCAAGCCTTTCATCCGCAAAGGAAAAAGGAGGTATCAAAATTGAATGATTATAACATTTCAAACTTACCAGGAGTCTTGAAAATTTGAGGATTTTTGTCGACGTACAGACGTACCCACCCATACCGACATTTTCTTCTTGTATTACTTTCTTTTCTTCTTATACAAGGTAGACGCACGTTAAAACCGTGTGAAGCTGAGCTAAATGTGCGTCTACCTTGGCCTGCGGCGCGCTAAAATTTAAATGTTTTCGCGATTTTGGTTGGCATGCCTGTCCACCTCACATCCCACGTCTCACGGCCACGCCAGGCGCCTCACTTCACGCCGTCTTCCGGACGGTCTCCCCTTGAGCTTCCTGACAGAGCTGAGCATTTAAAGTTAAAGTTTAATATCAAGTTCAAGTTAAGCTCAGCAATTATTTTCTTTTCTGATGATACATTTTTATTTTTGTGGCATGGAGAAAGTATACTCCCAATACGTTGACTTCAGTCGGGTGTGGCGAATCGCCCTCGCCCTTTCTCGAGCGCGAACCCGCCGCTCGGCACGTGGTTGTCGTCCTTCCGCCCGTCCAGTCCATCCGGGTCGATCCGAAGGGGCGTGGACGGCGACACCCTTTTCTATCTTTGTCAGTGTCAATGTCGCGTTGGGGCGTGGCGGGGCCTGGCGGGGCGTGGCGTGGCGTGGCGTGATGTCACGTGACGTCTTGTCACGCAAAGCAGCCCTGGGCGTTGATAGGATTACACCGCCTCGGATTGGTTACCCGCGCCGCAAGATTGGGCAGACGAAGCGAAGTGGGACCCTCCGGTGGCGGCGGCAAAATTGAAAATAGAAAAGACGGAATACCAAGAAATACTATCCCCGTCGTTGTGTCCACTGTGGGAGGGGGGTGGTGGCGGTGGTGGTGGTGGCGGTGGTGATTGTGATGAGGGGAGGGGTGCTCTCCCTGCCCCTGTCCCGTCAAGTCCAGTTCATCCATTACTGGACGTGGGGCGTGTCCTGCAGAGTAGGGGACCCCAGAAGGACAGTACCTGTTCCGCCAGGCTTGTCAGCGCCTCCTATAGGGGAGTGGGGGTGGGTACAGGGGTATATGCAGGCCAGATGGTAGAGGTAGAGTACAGGGTAGAGGTGTATATATAGGCTAGAGGGTAGAGAGGGTGTAGGTAGAGGTGGAGGTAGAGGTACACACTAAATGTATTTGTATGTTTTTGTGCAAATGTTCGCTCTAAGTTAAAACTACGTTTCGTTTCGCACAAATTCGTACGACAAAGTGCATGTACCTTTTCTGGACAACTCGTTGAGTGAGTGTTTAGTTTAGCACAGGGTTGATGACGAGGGGTGGATAACTCCCCTGCTAAGAGTACACATCTAATTCTGCCCAATTCAAACTAATTCAGACCAATTCAATTAAATTCAACATAATTCAGAAATAAATTCAAAACAATTCAAAAATGATTCAACTTAATTCAGTTCAATCCAAGACAACTACATTCAATTCAAGTCGATTCACGCTAATTCAGTAAAATAAAATCGCAATAATTCAAACCAGTTCAAAACAATTCAACCAACTCAGTCCAAATCAAATTCAAATCAAGCCGAATTCAAGCCGCAATTCAAATTCAATTAATGAAATTTGCACACCCGATTGAGGAGTTATCCACCCCTTTGTTAATTACTTCTGGATGGAATGTATTCGTATTCGAGTGAGAAATACCCGATCTAGATCGTAAAAAGGGAAGAAGGAAGAATGCCCTCATTCCTTTCCTACCCTGCTCAACACCCACCTCATACATCTGAGGGCCATGCACATAGGAGGAGCACGTCAAAAGTCATGTGTTTTCGAAACGGCCCCTCACGCCGGTCAGCACCCTTGGTTTCGCGCGCCGCCGCGCCGCCAAACTCACAAACTATAAAAGTAAAATGGAAATGAGGCTTTCGGTTTGTTGTATTTATCGCCCCGACCGTGCACGCCGCTGGCCGCCGCTGCTGGCCGCGTTGGCTCTGGCGGAGCGACTACTCGCTTCATTTCTCTTTGGGAAGAGTTGTTGCCCTGTTTGGGGGAGGGGGAAGGGGCAGCGAGGGGGGAAGAAATCGAATACCTGTCAGACGTTTGGTCGCAAACACCCCCTTCCCCTCCATAAACACAGGTGCCCCCTACCCTTCCACCTCATCCCCCGCGTTTGGCACGCCAACTCCTCGCCGTGTGCGGAGCCCGGCCCCGGCGCCCCGGCGCCCCTGGTGCACTCGCACGCTCGCCAAACAGCATGACCCACCCCAACAGTCGGCAGTGGCGTAGCCTCGGCCGTAGCTCACTTGCCTGCCAGCGGCGACTCCATCGCCACGGTAGTCCACAAAACTGAGAGGTTATTGCACGACCCAACGCCCAACTTTATCGGCTTTGCTCTCTGGCTCTGACGAGCACCCCATCCGGCCGGCCTAGCACTCGGGAGGGCGTGCCAGTAGTGACAACGGGATAGGG